TTGCTCTGCAAAATAGGCGTTTACATATGCGATGACCTCCTCGTTCGATGAAAATCTCTGTCCTCCAAGCAAAACTTTAAGCTTAACAGGAAAAAGTCGCTGGGGGCCAGATCTGGTGAATACGGATGGTTAACCAATTCGAAGTGCAGTTCGTGAATTTTGGCCATGGCGACCGCCAAAGTGTGAGCAGGTGCGTTGTCTTGATGGAATAGCACTTTCTTCTTCTTCAAATGCGGCTGTTTTTTTTTGTCAATGTCTGTCTTCAGCTTATCAAGTAATACGCTCCCGTTATTGTTTTACCTTTTTCAAAATAGTTGATACACACAATTCCGTGACTATCCCAAAAAACAGTCGCCATTACCTTCCCAGCTGATGGAACTGTCTTCACCTTTTTCGGAGCAGGTTCATCCTTTGCAGTCCACTATTCTTTTGTCTCTAGGGTGTAGTGGTGGATCCAAGTTTCATTTACAGTTATGACGCAAAAAATCTGACTCGTTTTGCTTGAACCGCTCCAACAGGGTCTTGAAAATGTTCATTCGAATTCGTTTTTGGTCCAAAGTGAGCAAGCGCGGCACCCAACGCGCGGATAGCTTGCGCATATCCAATTCTTCAGTCAATATATGACAAACGCGTACTTCGATATGCCCATAGCCTCTGCTATCTCTAACCTTGATTCGACGGTCGTCCAGTCTATTTGGTGAACATTTTCGATGTTATCAGCGGTGATCACAGTTTTTAGCCATCCCGAACGCTCATCATCAGCCAAGCTGGTATGACCACATTTAAATTCAGCTGTCCATCTTTTTACGATGGCAAATGATGGAGCAGAGTCCCCGTAAACAGCATCCAACTCGATTTTAATTTACGCAGGCGTATTGCCTTTTAATGTAAGAATTTAATCACGGCACGGCATATATTCAATTTTTTCCATTTTTACAAAAACACTGACATCGACTGACACAAACGACTGTCAAACAACAACTGAGCGTCCAAAATGGCTGAAATTTTCACAAAAGTCTTTCAAAGCATATACTATTGTAGTACTAGAATGATTTTGACGAGTAACGTCATCTTCATGTTAAGGCTCAAAACTTTTCAGACTACCCTCGTACATGTATATTCTCTTGAATCCCCACGACCCGCACTCCAGAGAGATGATGGTCCTATTCTCTCGATGGATGCAAGTCGGATTGCAGTGGTGCACCCTCCAACGCCACTGGCCAATATACAAATAATTCTCCTGGTACGCGGCAGGAGAGATTGCATGGTCAAATTGCTTCGGTTTCTCCTTTCCTCGAGAGCTTGCGAGGAACGATCGGCGAAAACAGATACTCGCGTTGAGTCGGCTTGCATAACCACGAGCACGAATTTCACTTATTGTCTCGAAATTGGAGCACGGGAGCACGAGAGCATTATTAATGCTCCGAGTGTTCGAGAGAGAAGCCGGGAAGAAGAAGCTGAAAATGAACGGATGACGACATGGGGCAGGCGCGTTATCAATAAGCGGCAGCGCTCCCTTTTTGGAAGTAATCTGCGCCGCAGTGCGCTATTGATCGAATTATCGCGGACTGATCGTTCCAGAGGATGGCGCCGCTTCGCGAATTAGGCGAACTGCGAAATTGTTACTGTGCGCTTTAAGTCTTCGGCCGTGCCTGAACATATTATGTAAAAAAGTATATAAAGTTATATAATTTTTAAATCTTGTTATTACGACATTTTATTCGGTCTGATACTTTTTGCTTACTTTATATGTAATATATTTTGAACAGTCATGATGTTCGCCGTCTTAATGCTGTAGTTGCCTCACCTCTGTAGCCGCCATAGACATAGTATACCTAGACCAAGCGTTTGCCTTTATTCGAGGAATGGGAGTAGATCTGTATGTAGAAAAGGATATACTCTGTTTTGTGTCTTTGT